AACGGCTGAAGCCACGCAACCCCCCAGACTCCCAGCAGGCACCTAAAGATGGGGTTGGGTGAAGAGGGCGCCTGCCACCGCCGTGAGACCTAGAGGCACGGCAGCTCGTGAGGCAGTGAGCTCAGGAGCGCGGTGGTCACGCTTCAAAGGCTGACAAACACTTTTCCCAGTCAGTGCAGCTTCTTCATCTACCAGTACCTCCTCGTGGTGAGCAGGGCAGCTTGCTTCCATGCCTCTGTCTTCCACACCCGCAACTACAGGTGCCAAGTATCTTTAGGACACCTTTGGAGAAGAATATCCTTGAGCTAAGGACGAGCGCAGAGGAGCAGCAGTCCCCACAGCCCAAGCTAGTCACATTCATTCCCAGCCTCCTCTTGACAACTGCGTGAAAGCAACGTTTGTGTGATGCTCCCCGAGAGAAGAGGCTACAAGAGCTTCTGCCACGGCAGAAAGAGGGAAAGACAGCCCAGAGGCAAGGGCATAAGTAGGAGGATCAGAGCGCTCTTGCACTTACCGCCAGACATTAAGTAGTCCCTCAAAATGGGCATCCTGAAGTTCCCAGCCAGGGTAGCAAGGTACGGTCGGATCCCCGGGAATTTCTGGCTGACGCCTGTGGCCTCTGTGCTGAAGTTGCAAAAGGCACCCAAGCCCATGATGCCGTGTGGATGGTACCCAAAGATGTAATTCCTGGTGGTCAGCAGATTGTGAGTTTTAACCAGCTAGGAAAGGAGAGAGGGATATTCTCAGGTAATAAGAAGAAAATGGAGGAAAACAAAGTAAAAGTCTGCAGCTTTTGTCTCTCTTCCCACCAGGGAGAAGAGCCCGAGAGCTGGGGTTCAGGCTGTGCTGGATTTCAGCGGCTGCGGTGAGAGCAGCCCCTCAGACTTCAGCTCCCCAAGCAGAGGGAGCGGAACAAACCGGCTGATCTTCGACACGAGAAGGCTGCAGCCGAGTGGGAACAGGGGCTGGGTCGCAGCGAGCGAACACGTCGCCCTTTGTTTCCGTCCTCCTCCCAAAGGTCTTCTCGCAAGCCTCTTGCCCAAACCAAGCAAGTTCTTCACGGCCCTGGAGCCACAGCTACGCCTCTTTCCAGGCTCTCTCAGCACTTTAGTGGCTCACATCCCAGCGTGAGGCGGAGAAAACCCCACGAAAGGCAGCGTCTCGTAACAGAAGCAAGTTTTTTTCAGGTATTAAGCAAAGACCCAATCACTTAACATGCCTGCTGGCCACCCTCCAAGTGGGACAATGTGCAGAAGGGTGGCTTACCACTGGAAACCATCCTTCTCCGAGGTTTTGCTCTGGCCTACAGGCCAGCCAGACACCTCAAGCCATCCAACAGCAGTGCTCAAATACCTGCAGGACGTGCCCCAGGAGCAGCGATTGTGTTGGCTGGGGGTTGTGCGATATCCCTAACCATTTGCTCGTCAGTTTGCACAGCAGGGACGCTCCAAAGCTCTCAGCCACGCACAGCACACCCCGTGCCCTGGTACCACCGTGGCCAGAGGACTTTTTTTGGACGCTATGAGCAGCAGCAGCATCCCGAGCACCTTCCCCTGGCAGCACGCAGGCTGAGCACGCACACCGCAGGGCTGCTGCATCACCCCTTACAGCAGCACGGATCCAACCCAACGTTGTGGTTTTCCAGGCTGCAACGGTGCCAGCCTTCTCCAGCTGCAACAGCCCAGCCGCCCTCAGAGCGGGGCAGGA